TGGTGCAGAGGCATAGAAGGGTGGCTGGCCACAGACCCGGGAGGCCGGGGTCCAGATGCAAGGTCAGGCTCTGTGCTCTGAGACAAGGCACTGTCCCTCTCTGTTCTTTAATTCCTTGTGCTCTGTAAAATGACTATTATTCTACTGGGGGGACGAGGAGGCTGTTTATTGATAACTAGCATAGAACTGGACTGGCATTCAGAAAACCCTGCCTTCATCATTCATTGGTTACGTGACCTTGGTTTCTTCCCATTTCTAAAATGGGGACCATCCTTTGAGAAAAATACTGAAATTAGAGTTATTATTGACTGACAGTGATAAGTTAATAAGTGATAAGGGTGGATTTCCTCCACCTACCCCCAAGTCTTTGGGAGTATCTGGTAACAGGAGAAATTTAACCAAAATCCTCTCCCCAAATCTCCTTTCTCTGCCGTTGTGTTGGCTCATATTCCCCATGTCTATGAGAAATCATGGCCCTCACACCCAGCAGCTGTTGCCAAGGCACATTTTGCAATAAATCAAAATTACTCCCACTGGTCCAGGGTATTCAGGTTAGCGAAGGACAAAGTAGGGGCTGCAAAGAGGTTTTCTTAAGAGGACTGTGTTTGCCTTTCGTTCTGATGCCGCTGGACTTCCTGGAGTGTTGGCTCAATATCGTTGATACTGAGGTAGAGAAAGTCTCTGGCTTTGGGATTTGGTCCAACCCCCAGCCTGCCCATGTTAGAGCAGAAATTCTCATAGAATTACATAGGTTTGGTGGCGGGGCTGGGGTCTTCTATGGTTGGTGACCAAGCCACGCGTTTTACAGAGACGGGGAAGTGAGGTGACTTGGCCATAGGCACCCAGAAATTAGTGAAGAGCCAGGGACGAGAGCCCAGGTTTCTTCTTCATGTTCTTCCTGCTTCACAACCCAGGGCGCCCAGCCTCCGGGCAGAACTGGGGAGAGACTGTTGCTTCTCTTTGATTTTTGTTTTGTTTTGTTTTTTGCTTTTTGCTAGGCATTTGGGGTTAAGTGACTTGCCCAGGGTCACACAGCTAGTACGTGTTGTGTGTTGTGTGTCTGAGACCAGATTTGAACTCAGGTCCTCCTGACTTCACGGCCGATGCTCTATCCACCGCGCCACCTAGCTGCCCCTGTTGCTTCTCTTTGAGGCGCCCTCTGGGCCCCCCAAGCTGGTAGAAGGTCTCTTTCTGATCCCTTGATGTTGGGTGGACACTGGGGCTCCTTCCCTGCCAAGCACATGCCATTTTTGAATAGGTGAGTATGTTTGCAGAAAGGAGACAGAACAGGACAAATATGTCAGGAGTTTCTTGAGGAGAGAAGGACCAGGACCACGCAGCTTCTCATGGATCTGCAATTTATAAAATGTTTTCTTGCAGTAAGATGCCATGTTCTGCCCCGGGACTTCAGAGATGGAAGGCAACAGGCCCTGGGAATGGGGCAAGGAGAGGGGAGGAGGCTCAGGGATAGCCCAGACAGAGAGAGGAGATGCTGAGGAGAGGGCCGGCCAGATAGATGCTTGGGAAATCTTGAGGAGGGCACTGTCCTCTCCCAGGGGCAGGGAACCTGCGGCCTTCAGGCCACACCTTGCCTTCTACGTCCTGAAGTGCGGCCTTTTGACTGAATCCAAATTGTACAGAACAAAATTGGTTGGGATTTGGTCCGTCTCCTACTCTGCCCTTGTTAAAATGTGTTCTGTAAAATGTGGGTTCAGTCAGAGGCCGCACTTAAGGACCTAGAAGGCCACAGGTTCCCCACCCCTGTCCTTTCCTCCGGAATCGGGTCTGTTTTGTCTCCATCTTGGCATCTCCAGCCTAAAACCAAATTCTTCCAGCTAGGCCAATTAGAACAAGTCTTGACCCTGCGTTCTCCTGTAAGGCTTTTTGTGACAGAATTATCATTCTTCGGGTGTTCATTCTTATGACTTATAAGATGTCAGGTATGGAAAGCTATTGACTAAGGCATGAATGGGGTCTCCTTCAGCCCATGTTCTCTCCCCTGCGTCCCATCACGCAGACCCATGCTTTGAGTGGTTCAGAGAACTCTCTCCGTGGATGCAGAGAGGGACGTGTGCATGTATGCAGCTTACAGTCCTAAAGAGCCAGTCAATAAGCATTTATTGAGTGCCTGCTGTATACCAGGCACTGCGCTAAGTGCTAGGGTTGCAAAGAAAGGGCAAAAGACTGAGAGATTAAGGGACATGCTCAGAGTCACATGGTGAACGTTTGCCAAAGGGAAGACCTTTCTGACCTCAAAGCTGGCCCTCTTATCGTGGCTGCCCTGCGTCCTTGTTTATTGCTGCTCTGTAAATCCAAATATTTATGGGCAAGGACAGTGCTGGGAGCCCGACGCCCGCAGCTTATAACTGAAACCTCCGCGGCCTCTCTGAGACTCAATTTCCTTAACTAAATGAGACAGTTGGACTGAAACCGATGTCTTGGGTCCTTTCCGTTGGCCAGGGGTGTAGCTTGAAAGGCACTGACCCCCCCAGTCCAAAGACTCATATTCCAGAACCCATTCTCACCCTAGCTGGATGGCAACTCCCTTCACTTCCCTGAGGCTCAGTTATCTTGTCTGTGAAATGGGGACAATAATAATTGTACTACTTACTTCACCGGGTGGTTGTGAGGAGAGAACTTTGCAAACTTTGAATCTGTAAAGAAGTGGAGATGACTATTATTATTATTACTTTTATTACTTTTCATTTCTCTTAACCTCTGGTGGGTTTCTTTCCATATTCTTTTTGAGTTTATGTGCATTCTGCAAAAGCAAACTGATTTTAATTGCAGCCACAGGACAACCTAATGATATAGGAAAGGAAGTCTGCCCCCAGATAATCAAACCACCTCAGTGTGCTAGGCACATGCTTATAAATGTCCACGCCACTCCTCTTGTCTCCCCCTGAGAGCTGCTGAGCTTGGCATCAGGGTCCCTTCCCCTTCTTGGCGGTCCTGCCTCCCACAGTCTTCCTCTGAATGCTTTGCCTCTGGGTACCCAACTTGGCACCGCCTCCCTGACCCAGCTTGCCCTCCCACTCCCTGCCCTCTCCAGGACAGGCACACCACATGCCCGAGGCCTTCTAGATCCTCACCTCCCTTTCCCATCTCATCCCACTCAGGCTCTCCAGGTGATTTCAAGTGTCTAAAATAGTTGCTTAGCAGATCCTGAGAACTGGGCTGAGGGTTGAGGGCCTCTGTCACTCACTGGCAGGGATCTCACTATTCTCCTGACTAGTTGTTGAATATTCACAGGAGAAAGCAGTGATAATGAGAAACCAGCCAGGTTTCCTCAGGAACGGTTCGTGCCAGACCAACCTTGTTGCCTTTTGACTCGGTTTCTACGTCCTCCCTAGTGAGGGATAAGGGTCCGTCTGTCATCGGCCCTGAGACTACCAGATGACTCAGTCCTGGGCACCATGGGCAAGGACTTTGGGGATCATGGGGAGAAACTGAGCTTGTCTAACCTGGGAGAAGAAAAGATTTAGTGGAGTCCTGGTGGCAGTCTTTAGGAACTGGAACCTCGGTCACGTATGTGGGAGAGGGGATGGATTAGTTCTGCCGGCCCGAGAGGGCAGGATAAGAGGCAGAGGGTGGGAGGTATAAAGCTTAGGGGTGATACAGGAGGTCTGGGCGGCTGCCAAGGTCCCTTGTACCTCCAGAGCTGAGGCCAAACACAGGGTCTTCCCCAGGTTGGGCACACATTTGTCCTCAAGCCCCAGAGGAACCAAGCTCATGCTGAGAATTCAGGTCTGGAAGGACGGCACGGAGGCCTCTGAGGGCTGGTGGAGATGCTGGTGGGCAGACGGGTTTTACGTTACTTGTCACTAACCACTAACGAAGACTCACCTTGCTCTGTCTCAACTGTGTGAGCCATCAGCTGGCTTCATTTGACACTGTGTGGGAGGGAGAGATGTGATACAGTGAACTGGGGTTGGGATTAGATTTGTTCTGCCCCGGAGGAGAAATCTAGGACCATTTGGGGGGGACACATGGGAAGTTACAGGGAGGCAAATCTTGGCTTAGTCTAAGGAAGAGCTTTTTAACAGTTTGAGCTGTTTTAAATGGGAATAGCATGCCTTGATAAGTAGTGAGTTGCCCATCCCTGGAGGTATTTAATCAGAGACAAGGTGACCAGCTGTCCAGGATGTTGCAGGGTTTTTTTTTTTTTCCTTCAGCTATGGGTTTGACCAGATCAAGGGTGAGGAACCTGAGACCTCGACTACATGTAGCCTCCTAGGTCCTCGGGTGCGGCCTTTTGACTTGAGTCCACGTTTTACAGAACAAATCTTTTTATTAAGGGGATTTGTTCTGTCAAGTTTGGATTCAGTCAAAGGGCCGCACTTGAGGACCTAGATGATCTCTGAGTCCTAAGTCTGTGAATTTTACGAACCTCTGAGTTCTGGGTTTTTCACCAAGTAGGATAAGGAAGGAGGATAGAAATACAGGTGAATCTTACTCCAGGAAAGAATGACTTCCAGTCTTTGTCTCTATTTTATTTTATTTTTTTTGGCTAGGCAGTGGGGTTAAGTGACTTGCCCAGGGTCACACAGATAGTCAATGTCTGTGTTTGGATTTGAATTTAGGTCCTCCTGACTCAACACCACCCAGCTGCCTCTGGGTCAATTTTTGAGATATGGGCAGAGGGTAGACTGAATGCTGGACTTGAAATCAGCAGAGCCAGGATCAAATGCCATCTCGGACATTCCATTGTTACCGGCTCACTTTCCTACCTAGAGCATGTCATGTAAGGCTTGACTCAGGAAACTGGGTTCAAATCCTGCCTGACATTTACCTCTCTGTGACCGCCCTGGGTAGCCCATAAAGACCTCTATAAATGAGAGCTAAGGCCTCTTATTCACAGGCTCCAGCAATCCCAGGTTTGAACCCCGGTCTTCTGATTTCAAGCCTGGGGCTCTCTCTACTTTGTGCTCTCTTTCAGTGTCTGTAAGAAAATATTATTTTATGCCCATTCTGAATAATTCTCTTCCTGCTCCTTACAGAGTCCTTGAATGATCCTGCTGGCCTTGCTGTTCTTGTACCTGATTTGTTTACGGTTAGTTTGGAGCATCATGGCGGACGCCAAGTCGCTTATCAAGAGTAAGTCTGAAACCGAAACCCAGCGCGAGGCGCCTTTTTCAACCTGTGTCAGCAAAGGGGAACCAGTCCACCAAAACGCAGACAATCAGTCAGCCCCGGCAAGTCTGAGTCCGGATGTTCCAGTGTGCCTCGAAGGCCCCACCAACAGCCCGAAGCGACTGGCATCGTGCCCGCCGCCGCACACGAAGCCAGGCCAGCCCGTGCCGTCAGACATGAGCTCGGCCTGTGCTGAGCCTCAGGCCAACGGTCCGGAAGGGCCGGGGAATCCAGAGTCGCCCTCCTCCCCTTTGGGTTCTCAGGCCAAGCAGCTCCGGGCTCCTTCCAAGGAAGATCAGAAACAGGCCCAGATTAAAAAAAAGCTGATGACTAATTTCATCTTGGGCTCTTTTGATGACGTCTCTTCTGACGACGACACCCCCGATGGATTGTTCAAAGCCTCCTCTAGGAAGAGCAGCCGGTCAAGCTTTGGCTCCTTGTCCTTCGACTTGGCCTCCCTTCGGTCCATGACTGAGTCTGAAATGTCTGCCCCCACCATGAGGTAAAATATCCTTTCTCCAAAGTGCTTGCCGAGAGCCGGTGTCCTGAGAACGGTCAATCTAGTTGGCGACCAGTTGACTTCAGACTGGGCCCTACCCCTTTCTCAGTCAATGAATGAGCAATTATTGAGTACCTCCTGTATACCCACAACACTGTGCTTTGGGGGGCAGGGAGGGGAGTGTAAAGGAAATAGATTTAGTCTCTCCCCATGTGGAACTCATGGTCTAGTTATGGAGACAAGGGTCGTGCCTTTGGATCACCCCAAGAGATGCACAGGCACGGCACAAGGCTGTAGTTGAGTAAATATGGCAGATGAAAATGAGGACATGAAGATTTTGTAGCGGGGCAGAATCACCAGGCAGGGCTTGGCACTCAACCTCTAAGTCTTTGCGTCACCCCCTCTCTTTCCCCCCTGGTAGGAGGATGGGCTAGGGCTGAGTTGCCAAGTTGAGGGTCCTTGCCCTTCTGCTCCAACCAGGGCCTTGATGGGAGTCCTTCAGGCTGGCACAGATTACTGTGGGGGTCCCTGTTTGAAAAGGAGGCCTGGGTCTGTTTCCTGCCCGTCCGTAGACAAGGAATCGAGGACAGTCACTGCCCCTTCTTTCTAAGAAAGAAGGGGCCTTCAACCCCTTCTTCCGGCTCAGTATTGGAGTGACAGATTGAAGCTGGCTTTCTTTAGGACAGTCACTTGGAAAGAGAGATGCCGGCCTGGTGTACGGACAGGAGCATTGGGTTGACTCGGGACCCCAGGATTTTGACTTTTACAAGGCCCTCCCATCTCCAAGCCTCAGCTTCCCCCTCAGTCAAACGAGGGGTATTAGGCCCCATGACCTCTGAGGTCCCGCCCGGCTCTGGTATTCCAGTGCTCTCAGAGTGAGGCCCACTTGTATGACCGTTGGACTGTTTTGGAAAGGGCTTTCCAAAGTCACGATCCCTTGGGAAGGGAGCCACAGTTTAGGACAGACGTTGGGGAATGGCGTGTGCCTGAAGGGAGGTGACCACGATGGGGTGGGTTCTGGACACCTGAAGGTGCTGGGGACCTGGAGACCAGAAGACTCAGGGAGAAGTATGTGAAAGATGTGTTAGCTTTGATCATTTTTGCCCCAGCGGGCATAACCAGAGACGAGGTTTCTGCTAGACTTTTCAGTTGTTAGAATTGTCCGGATAGAACACCAGCCCTGGAGTCGGGAGGACCTGAGTTCAGATCTAGTCTGTGTGACCCTGGTCAAGTCACTTAACCCCAATTGCCTCCAAAAAAAAAAATCAAAAATTAGAATTGTCCAGAAATAGAAGGCACTGCCTCACAAGGGAGTGAGTTCCCCATGTTGGAGGACTCCAAGGGAAGACAGCCTGACTGCTTGGTGATCTCGGCTCCGGCCCGTGAACAGGCTGAGGTTGCTGGCTGCCGGCTTCCCTGTGCCTCTTCACCCTCAGCCCCAGTCTCAGGTCTCGAGCCCCTTGTTTGGTCCTCCTCCTTCTCAGGAATACCCCTTCCAGCCTCAGTTTACCGATTCCAGCCGTTGTGGGAGGAAAGCGGCTGATTTAAGCTAATCGGGGCATTAGCATAGATTGGGGGTTCTCCACCTTTGTGAGGGCCCCTTTGGCACTCTGGTGGAACCTTGGAGCCTTTCTCCGAAGGGCGAAGTTCACAGCCCGTAGGTTAAGAACCACAGGGGAGAATGGGTAGCTCCGGGCGTCTCTATACCTTGGAGCATGCTGGGAATGGGGGGGGGCTCTCACCTTTGTGCAGATCAAGAGATTCCAGGTTGGCCTCCGGTGGTTACAGCATAGAGCAAATAGTGAGGCAGCGAGGCGGCCCTGTGGTTAGTGCCTTGGACTGGAAGTTGGGAAGACCCGAATTCAAATTCTGCCCTAGCCTCTTACTGTGTGACCCAGCTCAAGTCACTTTACCTCTGCCCTCCTCAGTTTCCTCATCTGTCAAATGGAGATAATAAGTGCACCTACCTCCCAGGGTCAGAAATCAAAAGAGATAACTCAGACAAAGCACTTAAAACACCTGATAAATGCTCGCTTTTATTGGTATGTTATTTATAGATAATGAAAGTGCGCCACGTGAATGTAAAGTGTGCTACATGCATAATCTTATCTCATGGCCCTGTGAGATATTAGCATCCCCATTTTATTGATGTGGAAACTGAGGCCCAGACAGGTCGAGCCCCATCCCCACCACACTAGGGTTGGAGCTGGAACCTGAGCCTAAGTGGCTTCCATCACACCACGCCATGCCAACAGCACGCCATGCCATGCCACACCACGCCACACCATGTCATGCCACACCAAGCCAACCAATACTGAGCTCACCTCGAAGACAGAGACCATTGTGTCATCGGACACTTAGTATCCTGTGTTTGCATTCTGGCCTCTTGTCCTGCTTGACCCCTGGTCCCCGGCCAGAGCCAGTCCCTGGCCGGACTGCTGGAGTCTTCCTCTTAGAATGTGCTGGACGGGGGCCAGCCCTACCCCAGCAAACACACACGTAGTTACCAACAGCTCGAGGTGAGGTGGCATGGCCCCGCTGCCTGAAGGTCAGTCTGTTTACCCCAGCAGCAAAGGTTATGGAGAGGGCCCGTGGTTGGGCAGGGAGAGCTGGGCTCGGGCTGCCATGGAGCAGCTAGATTGGGAGTGATCTGGGTTCACATCCAGCCATTTACCTCTGTGTCTGAGGGCAGGCTACAAACCTTGTCTGAGTCAGTTTCCTTCTCTATAAAGTGAGGGATTAGAGTCCTGGCTCCTGGGGTCCCTTTTAGGCAAAGATAGCGTCTGACTTTCAAGGAACCAAATCATGGACCCAGGATTTACAGGTGGAAAGGCCTTATAGTCCATCTGCCTCGTTTCTCAGAGAAAGACACTAAGGCCTGAGGTCCAGCAGGTAGGAGAGGGCAGAGTCAGGATTTGAACTCGGGTCTCATGACTCAAGGCTTCACGTGCTTTCCATTGTCCCATGCTGACTCCATGGATTGTTCAAGCCAGAAGACCTGGGTTCAGATCCCAGCCTTGCCACTTGTTAGCTGTGATTCTACCTCCTTGGGCCTCAGTTTCTCTTTAGGATGAGAGGGTTGAACTAAATGTCATCTCGGGTGTCTAAGCTGTTTGAACTCTTGGAGCCATAAGAGGCCTTGGCATAGGGGAAGGATTGTTGAATCATAGAGTTAGAGAGCAAGGGACCTTAGAAATCACATCGTCCCACCGCTTCATTTTACAGGTAAGGAAACTGAGGCCCTGATAAGTAACTCACTCAAAGTTCCCCAGAAATTTCAGTGGCCTTGGGAGGATTCAAACTCATAGCCCTGGGCTCCAAATCTCCCTTTTCTCTGGTCCTGATCTGCTTCCGTAAGAACGCATCTCATTGAACTCTCCCATTTCACAGAGGCGGAAGCCAAGGTCCAAGAGGCACAGTCAGGGATGGGAATTCCTGTCCCATCTTCCTTCCCATTTGCTTGCCTCCCAGCAATCCTGAGAGTCAGAACCGTTCCTTTTCAGCCAGAGCAGTGGAGATAATCCTGTTGGTAGATTAAGTTTAAGACACTGGCTGAGTAAGCATTTTTATGCCTATCTTGCAGACGAGGTAACTGAATCCCATTGACTTGACCAAGGTCACCTAGTGGCAGAGCTCCCCCTCCTGTCCTCTCCCCCAACCCTCTTTTTTTCCCTAACCTGATGAGGACTTGCTGAGGTCCACCATATTCCTACTTTTCTTTTGAACCTGCTGTTGGGAGAAATCATTCTGTCTTTCCTGTTCCCGTAGGCAACTCTAGGCTTGCTTAGAGAATAAAATCAGAGGCTGGGCATTAGACCTCAGAGACAGTCCAGTCCAGTCCAGTGCTCTGTTTACAGAGGAGAAAACTCATGTCCAGAGTGGGAAGGCGCTTCTTCAAAGTCCCACGGCTAAACTGTCATCTGAGTCTCAAGATTTTAACGATCTTCTTGGAGAATCAGAGCCAGGCCTCGAGCCCCCCATGTCCTGAATGTCCTTGCCCAGAGTGGCCTCAGCCCCCAGCCACTGGACTCCTTGCCTTGTGCCTTTAAGGACTTTACAAACAGCTGTCCGCTGCTGGAGGAGGCGGGGGAGGATTCATTGACAGGGGACAAGTGCGAAGCACGGACTTTCTTTGTTTATGTTTCCCCTTCTGTTCTGTTTCTAAATTCTTAACTCCTTGTTTGGTGCATTGAGGTAAGAGCAGTTTCCAGCAGGGACGTGATGGGGACGTGTCCCCGCTGAGTGAGGTCTTTAGAGGCACCGATAGTGAGAGCCTCTGCACTAGAGGAGAGCTCTGTACTCACCTTCAGACCCAGAGGTAACCCTTCTTATACTCTCATTGACTGCCCATCCAGAAAGGAGAGAGGCCCCAAACTGGATGGGTTGTTTGGCCTGGCCCGCCATCTTTCCATCATCTTCCCCAATGAGATTCTCCCTTCTTCCTCTTTGGCCAAGTCACCCCAGGAGAATTCTGAGTGAGATCATAACCCAGACTTACTGTGGAGCAAGAGCCTGGGAAGATGGCGGCCTGACCTGGGCTCTGGGCCTGGCTCTGCTGAGCCCCGTGTGCCCTTGGGCTGTGTGACCCTGCCTCTTGTTGGGCCTCGCTTTCCTCATCTGTAAAGGCAAGGGGTTGGATGAGGTCAGTGTTCTGGGGAGTTCAGAGTGGTAAGACTCCCATGTGACAGTAGTTTTACTGTTAGTAACCATTCCTGAAGAATACCAGGGACAAAAAGGCATCCTGAACTTTTTAAAGGAATTTTTATTTTATTCGTCACAACTGCATCTGCATACGTTGGAAAAATAATAATACATACATTTGTAGAACCAGTTACTTATTCAGGCTGCAGGAGGTATGTTTGGTTATATAATAATAATAATGATAATGTATTTATATAGCTCTTTAAAGTTTGTAAAGTGTTTTACATATTTCATCTCATTTGATAAAACCTGTGTTGTTTTTCAGCCGTGTCTGACTCTTTGTGACCCCATTGGGTTTTTTT